AGGTAGAGGACACACAAGAGCACTGACGATGGCTTCTTAACATTTTGTCTGTCAGAAAAGTAAAAAGTACTTCTATATCCTACTGACAATGAAACCATGGTCAGTTTTGATGTTCAGTGTCTATTTACATGCCTACCTGGTAAAGACCCTCTTATAGAAGAGGGGGCAAACGAGCATGCGACTCACCTGATGGTAAGTTACTACCACCGCCCATGAATAACTGCAATACCAGGGGGTGCTTTTACGCTCCGTGGTGGACCGTCAAGCATCCAGATGGTGTGGATGCTATCGTAAGGTTATTTTGCGATGTACGTTCGTGACATTGGCGGCTGGAATTAACTCCTCAGAGCACTCCCCGTCGTAGATGCGATATACAATTCAAAGGAATGCAACATTCCTTCGCAATGCCTGTGAATCGAGCCAATTATAAAGAACTCGGTCGTCGACAATTCGATACTCCGCGCTGGAAGCGGTCTAGTGGAAAGAGCTGGCACTGGGGTTTCCGGGCCCAGAATTGAGGACAGTATTCCATGTGAGGCCGAACTTGCACCTTGCTAAGTTCAATAGTAACTAGGAAACTAGAGGAAAATAAAATGCCTGCAGAATATTGCCTTACATAGGTCTATCTGTTGTAGAAGGAAAATTTCAAGCAAGTAGATGGTGTGGCGATGGGCTTACCTATATCTCCCTTGTCACCGATTTTGAGGAGAAAGCCCTTCCCACTTCTACTTTAAATCTAAGGTTCTTCAAGCAGTACGTAGACGATGCTTTCACAATTTTTTCATCAGATAATGTGGGCAAATATTTGTTATAGAGAGCATAAGGGATCTGTGATGGCAAACCTTTGGCCGCCCAATTTCAGCACGTCATGCAAGTTTTGAACGGCAACAAGGTTCGGGTTCCGCACTCAGTGACCACAAATTGACCATGTGAAACCAGTCACAGTCGAGCGTTTTTCTGCTTAGCTTCTACTAGCACATTCTAAAAGCCGCCGAAGAATATTAGTTAGTTCTTACCATACGTACAGTGGAATATCCCTCTACCAGATGCAGGAGTGTGTAAGCTTGATTGTGAATGTGGTATCTCTTACAACGGACAAACAAAACAATCAACCCGCGTGAAAGAATATACAGCTGATGTGAAGCACCAACACTCCGGGAAGCCAGCAGTATGTCAACATGCCTCACATGGCACAGATGATTAGATGACAACAAAAGACGCTAGTGCTCTTCTCGGATACATTTCCCTCTGTCGGATCATATCAAACACATTTTATTCAATATAGATGACAACAAAAGACGCTAGTGCTCTTCTCTGATACATTTCCCTCTGTCGGATCATATCAAACACATTTTATTCAATATAGATGACAACAAAAGACGCTAGTGCTCTTCTATGATAAATTTCCCTCTGTCGGATCATATCAAACACATTTTATTCAATATAGATGACAACAAAAGACGCTAGTGCTCTTCTCTGATACATTTCCTTCTGTCGGATCATATCAAACACATTTTATTCAATATAGATGACAACAAAAGACGCTAGTGCTCTTTTCTGATACATTTCCCTCTGTCGGATCATATCAAACACATTTTATTCAATATAGATGACAACAAAAGATGCTAGTGCTCTTCTCTGATACATTTCCCTCAGTCGGATCATATCAAACACATTTTATTCAATATAGATGACAACAAAAGACGCTAGTACTCTTCTCTGATACATTTCCCTCTGTCGGATCATATCAAACACATTTTATTCAATATAGATGACAACAAAAGACCCTAGTGCTCTTCTCTGATACATTTCCCTCTGTCTGCTCATATCAAACACATTTTATTCAATATAGATGACAACAAAAGACGCTAGTGCTCTTCTCTGATACATTTCCCTCTGTCGGATCATATCAAACACATTTTATTCAATATAGATGACAACAAAAGAAGCTAGTGCTCTTCTCTGATACATTTCCCTCTGTCGGATCATATCAAACACATTTTAATTAATATAGATGACAACAAAAGACGCTAGTGCTATTCTCTGATACATTTCCCTCTGTCGGATCATATCAAACACATTTTATTCAATATAGATGACAACAAAAGACGCTAGTGCTCTTCTCTGATACATTTCCTTCTGTCGGATTATATCAAACACATTTTATTCAATATAAATGACAACAAAAGACGCTAGTGCTCTTCTCTGATACATTTCCCTCTCTCGGATCATATCAAACACATTTTATTCAATATAGATGACAACAAAAGACGCTAGTGCTCCTCTCTGATACATTTCCTTCTGTCGGATTATATCAAACACATTTTATTCAATATAGATGACAACAAAAGACGCTAGTGCTCTTCTCTGATACATTTCCCTCTGTCGGATCATACCAAATACATTTTATTCAATATAGATGACAACAAAAGACGCTAGTGCTCTTCTCTGATACATTTCCCTCTGTCGGATTATATCAAACACATTTTATTCAATATAGATGACAACTAAAGACTCTAGTGCTCTTCTCTGATACATTTCCCTCTGTCGGATCATATCAAACACATTTTATTTAATATAAATGACAATAAAAGACGCTAGTGCTCTTCTCTGATACATTTCCTTCGGTCGGATTATATCAAACACATTTTATTCAATATAGATGACAAAAAAGACGCTAGTGCTCTTCTCTGATACATTTCCCTCTGTCGGATCATATCAAACACATTTTATTCAATATACATGACAACAAAAGACGCTAGTGCTCTTCTCTGATACATTTCCCTCTGTCGGATCATATCAAACACATTTTAATTAATATAGATGACAACAAAAGACGCTAGTGCTCTTCTCTGATACATTTCCTTCTATCGGATCATATCAAACACATTTTATTCAATATAGATGACAACAAAAGACGCTAGAGCTCTTCTCTAATATATTTCCCTCTGTCGGATCATATCAAACATATTTTATTCAACATAGATGACAACAAAAGATGCTAGTGCTCTTCTCTGACACATTTCCCTCAGTCGGATCATATCAAACACATTTTATTCACTATAGATGACAACCAAAGACGCTAATGCTCTTCTCTGATACATTTCCCTCTGTCGGATTATATCAAACACATTTTATTCAATATAGATGACAACTAAAGACTCTAGTGCTCTTCTCTGATACATTTCGCTCTGTCGGATCATATCAAACACATTTTATTTAATATAAATGACAACAAAAGACGCTAGTGCTCTTCTCTGATACATTTCCCCTCTGTCGGATCATATTAAACACATTTTATTCAATATAGATGACAACAAAAGACGCTAGTGCTCTTCTCTGATACATTTCCTTCTGTCGGATTATATCAAACACATTTTATTCAATATAGATGACAACAAAAGACGCTAGTGCTCTTCTCTGATATATTTCCCTCTGTCGGATCATATCAAACACATTTTAATTAATATAGATGACAACAAAAGACGCTAGTGCTCTTCTCTGATACATTTCCTTCTGTCGGATTATATCAAACACATTTTATTCAATATAGATGACAACAAAAGACGCTAGTGCTCTTCTCTGATACATTTCCCTCTGTCGGATCATATCAAACACATTTTATTCAATATAGATGACAACAAAAGACGCTAGTGCTCTTCTCTCATACATTTCCCTCTGTCGGATCATATCAAACACATTTTATTCAATATAGATGACAACAAAAGACGCTAGTGCTCTTCTCTCATACATTTCCCTCTGTCGGATCATATCAAACACATTTTATTCAATATATATGATAACAAAAGACGTTGTTGTTTTTATTTCAAACATTATTAGGTATATATTCTATATAGGTAAATCTTCTTCAACATCATCAACCCATAAAATCCCACTGCTGGCTGTGTGTCGGCACGCTCGGCAGGAGGATGTACGAGCGCAGTACCAGACGTCTCGCATCTTAGACGCTGCTGTCTGCCGCCGGTCTACATATAGTCAGGCGTCAACAAGTTGGTTATAACGCCATAAATCTTCCTATGTGGTAGGACTACTTCTCTGTACCGCAGTTCGTCTAGGTAGGTGGCATCCTCTTACCTACTTACTTCTGTGTTCCAGTCTAAGTATTTAGAGAGCTAGTATAGTTAATGACTGAGAGGCATTCTATAGTAGCCCTCAGAGGTGACAACGCTTCAGTCTTTTTGTTAGAAGATGGCTGCAGGTGTCCATGGGCTGCAACCTATCTCCAAAAGAACGACTGTAAGTTATTTTATAACTTCAAAACATATTAGCGGTATCAAATGCCCAAAATTGTGAATATATTAAAAAATCGTAATAAAAATGGAAACATTTTCGTAAGTACGCTTTGTACAACTTAAGTAGAGTGTTCAATTATTGTGCTCGTTATGCGGACTTAGCGATGTTCTCTACGGGGCTAACGATGCGCTGTATCAGCGTTTGTTCGAGAATATTTGCTTAGATTGAGGATATTGTGTATGCTTAGTACATGAACTTAACTAAATCGATGAATCTACGCAGTTAAGTGTCCTCTATTTTAAATTACTGTTTAAGATTCCGTCTTATGTTTTAGAATTTGTATATTGCTGAAGGATTATAATAAAATCCTATAAGCTGCGCGCTGAAGGCTTTTTATAATCCTCAACGTGTCTTGCTAAATTTAACTTTCTACAATCGATGACGCAAAGAGAAATCTATAAATTTTAAAGAAATATGCAATAGGTAACATGAATGCATTATGACTAAACGTTTCGATATGCCATTCCCATTCATTTTTATAGTTTTCTGATAGAGTTAACAACTGAAGAAAGTCAACTTGGCTATCCCAACAGTAGCTACGGTTAGCAACGTTTCCGTTAAACGTGATGCTTTAAAACTGTCGGTGAACATACCACGCGCCGTTTGTAAATGCCATGGTGCAAAAGAAATTTGAGTCGAAATCATTTTATTAGAAAATCCCAAACAATGCACAGATCTAACTAGATCTAACATGTGGCTAGATAATTATCATCTACATTCATCTTCGTCTTGTTGCCCACAAAATTCCTCTCATGGACACAAGCCATTCCCATTGTAGGGTAATATTTATCATAATTTTTATTATAATAATCTATTTGAAAACACGTAAAAGGAAATATTTTAGCGCTTTTAAAGCACATTGCGCGTACGAAGAGTGTGAAATTTGCCACAGATAAAGTTTATATGAAAAAGAAGTTCATAAAGCTATCATATATAGGGGGAATCCGGGAGACTTGCTCAGGTGGGAGAGTTGAACCGCCTTAAAAAAACTCGATTTAAATTTCGCGCTAACGAAACGTCAAGTCGGTCATTGGTAGCACGCGTGAGACCAATAACAACCACGCCGCCATTTTTTACAACGGCCTGTTTGTTTGGCTGTCAGGTTCGGACAGGTGTTTTTGATATTGCGGAGTAATTTTTTTTCATTTCTGTCGTTTTGAGATCACGGCACGGACGTGTTTATAGAGGTATGTATTATTATTATTGGGGTATCTATATAATTTTCTCACCTGGTTGGGTTCTATAAATATATAACTATAAATTAAAATGAAAAGATAAATGTACATAAATATCAATAAAATAAAATAAATACAAAAACTACATAAATAAATAAGATCCAACCAGATGGGAGCCCTCGGCAGGGGAGACCAAACGGCCGAGGATTAGGGGGAAAGGGAAAGAAACCGGCGGACGATGCGGGCGGTATCGAGGAGCACCGCCTTCTGCATTTGAGCCCGGAGCGGTCCGTCACGGAGTCCCAGTCGCCTCAGATGACCCGAGAGGCTGACTGGGATTAGCCCATTCGCAGAGACGACTACAGGAATAATTTCGGTCGACACACCACCCCACATGTCGGTCACCTCGTGAGCCAGGTCCAGATATTTTGTTTGTTTATCTGTTTCGGCTTTCACGAGGTTCTCATCATACGGAATGGTAATGTCGATCAAAAATATCCTTGACTGTGCCCGGTCCTCAGCACAATATCAGGCTTATTCGCAAGAATAGTCCTGTCTGTGATGATGGCCCGGTCCCAGTAGAGCCTGGCGCGGTCATTTTCGAGCACGGCTTCCGGCAAGTACTTGTAATACGGCAATTTCCGGTCCACGAGACCGTATTTCAGAGCGAGCTCCTGGTGTAGAATTCTGGCTACTAGGTTGTGCCTGTGCAAGTACTCAGAGTTAGAAAGCGCCGAACAACCGGAGATGACATGCCTAAGCGACTCCCCGGGATGGCGACAAGCTCGGCAGACGTCGACAGTGCCATCTTTTAGGATGTATCTCCGATAGTTGTTGGTCTTAATAACCTGATCCTGTATTGCACAGACAAAACCCTCGGTTTCCCCGAAGAGGTCACCGAAACGTAGCCAGTTGAGGGAGGCGGCTGTATCTACGTGAGGCTCATGTAGAGCCCTGTATTTATGTATTATTATTATTTTGGGGTATCTATATAGTTTTCTCATCTGGTTGGGTGCTATAAATATATAATTATAAATGAAAATGAAAAGACAAATATACATAAATATCAATAACATAAAATAAATATAAAAGTACATAAATAAATAAAAGCCCAACCAGATGGAGGCCCTCGGCAGGGGAGACCAAACGGCCGAGGGTTAGAAGGAAAGGGAAAGAAACCGGCGGACGATGCGGGCGGTATCGAGGAGCACCGCCTTCTGCATTTGAACCTGGAGCGGTCCGCCACGTAGTCCCAGCCGCCTCAGATGACCCGAGAGGCTGACTGGGATTAGCCCGTTTGCAGAGACGACTACAGGAATAATTTCGGTCGGCAGACCACCCCACATGTCGGTCACCTCGTGAGCCAGGTCCAGATATTTTGTTTGCTTGTCTGTTTCGGCTTTCACGAGGTTCTCGTCATACGGAATGGTAATGTCGACCAAAAATATCCTTGACTGTGCCCGGTCCATCAGCACAATATCAGGCTTATTCGCAAGAATAGTCCTGTCTGTGATGATGGCCCGCTCCCAATAGAGCCTGGCGCGATCATTTTCGAGCACGGCTTCCGGCAAGTACTTGTAATACGGCAATTTCCGATCCACGAGACCGTATTTCAGAGCGAGCTCCTGGTGTAGAATTCTGGCTACTAGGTTGTGCCTGTGCAAGTACTCAGAGTTAGAAAGCGCCGAACAACCGGAGATAACATGCCTAAGTGACTCACCGGGATGGCGACAAGCTCGACAGATGTCGACGGTGCCATCCTTTAGGATGTATCTCCGATAGTTGTTGGTCTTAATAACCTGATCCTGTATTGCACAGACAAAACCCTCGGTTTCCCCGAAGAGATTCTTGTAACCAAAGCGTAGCAGTGGAGAATTGGCCATTGGAGAATTGAACCAAAGCGTAGCCAGTGGAGGGAGGCTACTGTGTCTACGAAAGGCTCATGTAGAGCCTTGTAGAACCTCCCGTGGAGCTCCTTCTCCTTCCATACGGTCTCCCGGTCGGAAATGCTCTGCACTGCCGGGTCTTGCCATTGCTCGTTGGCTAAGGATAGAGGGGTAAGTCCTTTATCACAAGAAATGACGTCCTTATAGAATGGATCATCCGATCTCGCCAGGAAGTAATCACGGAGGCTGCACACTTCGCGATTATGCATGGTGAGCGCGCTCAAGAAGCCACGACCACCATGCTTCCGCGGCAAGTACAGCCTCATTACCGACGATCTCGGATGATGCATCCTATGGGACGTCATTGTAGTGCGGACTTTTCTATCCAGGGCGTTAAGTTCAGTCTGAGTCCACCTGAGTATGCCAAAGGTATACATGAGGACAGGCATGACCCAGCCGTTATATGCGTGTGCCTTATTCACACCGGACAAAAGGCTGTTAAGCACTTTGGTCAAGCGTGCATAAAACACGTCGCAAACTGACTGTTTCATACCAGTCTCATCGATACCGATGTTTTGTGACATACCCAGGTATCGGTATGTTTCAGCCTCGGAAAGGGTCTTAAGTTGACGGGCATAGATAAGTCTACGCCCTCAGAGTTAGCAACCCTTCCCCTTTCAACATGGAGGACCGCACACTTATCCGTCCCCAGCTCCATTCCAATGGAATTGCTAAATTCACAAGTGATGTTTAGCAATTCCATAAGATGGGAGCGACTGGAGGCGAATAACTTGAGGTCATCCATATAGAAAAGGTGGGTCACTTTTGTCCCTCCTTTCCGTAGCTGAAATCCCTCCCGGAGCCCTCCAGTAAGGTACTGAGAGGGTTCAGAGAGAGGCAGAACCAGATTGGACTCAGACAATCGCCCTGGAAGATACCCCTTCTTATCCTTATGTGGTTCTCCGCAGCCATCATCCGCTCGCCTAGATGACAAAGGATCGTACTCCACTGCCCCATACACTGCTCGAGGAAGTCTCTAACTGTACAGTCTATCTTGTACAGCTCGAGGACTCTCTTTAGCCATGTATGGGGCACCGAGTCGAATGCCTTTCTGTAGTCTATCCAGGCGGCGGAGAAGTTCCGACGGTTGCGTTTCACCACTTTGCCAATGACCGCGTCAATGAGGAGTGGTTCCTTGGTTCCACGACCACCGCCCCGACATCCATTTTGAGCGCGCGACATCACCTGATTTGAGTCCAGGTGACAAGTGATTCTCGCGCTCAAAATGGATGTTAGTGTCTTGTATATGGTCGGTAGACACGTGATGGGGCGGTATTTGCTCGGGTCTGTGGTACCCTGGTCTTTAGGAACTAAATGAGTGATCCCAGTAGTGAAGAGGCTTGGGAGCGACTTCTGGTTGAGAGCCTCTTGAAACTGTCGGGCGAGCACAGAGTGACACACCATGAACCCCTTCAGCCAGTAGTGATGCAGCCCGTCAAGCCCCGGACTTTTCCAGTTCGGGGCCTTACGAACCGCCCCAGCTACGTCATCCGGCGTTATGATGACGGGGTCCATGGGCGTAATACCCGCACACTGACTCGCCACAACTTCCGTCCAAGGGCCCTCGCTGTGGTTTACGGGCTCTGACCACAGGCCGCGCCAGAATGCTACAGTGTCGGCCTGATTCGGTGCTGGACCCGTTCCACTTACCATTGGTCGCTCCAATGATTCATAGAGCCTCTTCTGATCACTCTGGAAGAGACGATTCTGGTTGAACCGTGTCGACCTCTCGGTATATCGCCGAATCCGCTTTCCGCAAGCAGCGATTCTCTGCTTCAGATCATCTATGCGCTCCGTCAGTTTTTGCGTTATATCCGGCTGGGACAAACTGACATTTGTCCCAGCAAACGCCATCCTGACGGTGCGCACAATTCTTGGCCTGTTGTTGCCTGATCTGAAGCATATCAGTCTGCCGATGAGAGCTCTAGCCTTTGCGATACGTTCCTCAATTCTTCTTCTCCATGCTGGGATAGCGCTACTATGGCCAGTAGCGCGTCCAGCCGTGGAAACCTTGGCGCCTATGATACGGCAGACTGCCAGCGCGGCGCCAAAAAGAATTGAGTCCGTCTCGCAAAGGTCCCGGCTGGCTTCCAAATAGGTAACCAGCATTGGGTTCAGAGCCCTCACGACAGCCCGATTCCGCTTGCTTAGGGCTATGCGGGAAAGTCGCGGTCGATTTTCGAGAGGCGTACTGCGCGTTTCCACAATCGCCTCTTCCAATATACTCCTCATATGCTCTAATTCCAGTTCCTGGGCGACTGTTCCATCATCGTTTGAATCAACCACAACTGGGGTATTCACGGCGGCATCCACGTTTGCGGGTTGCTCTACCATTTGTGGCGCCGCATCCTCAGCCGTAGCATTCTCATCCGACGAGGGAACAGCCTCACGTCGTAGCCGTTCGAGTTCGGCGACATCAAATATATTTGAGCGCAAGATATACCGAACTCGGTCTGCCAGGTTTTGCTCTGTGACGATTAAATGGTGGCTCCAGCTCAGCAAAAAGACGATGCATCCTAGCCCGATACGCCAAACATCCAGTTTCTTCCCCTTTTGCCCTAAAGTACGCCCGCAGTGCGTTTGCATTCATTTCTTGTGACCAACGCATGCGACGTGCTCCACCAGCGGCGGGTGCCGCTTGCTGAGTCCGAGAAGACCCAGCCGACACCAAGCCTTCTGGTGGGGATGATGGATGCGGAGGGCTGGTAGATGACCGTGCAGCTCCTCGCGCTCGGCTGGCGGCCCGCATGCTGCCGCGTCCAGCGCCAGCTCCAGACGCGCCGGCCCCGGCGACCCCCAGGCAGCGGCCCTTTGCGCACTATCTTTTTATCCATCATCCATTATTTGGGCGTCCATTAACGGGAGACGCCCAGGCCCGGCACCGTTTCGTGTGTAGCCATAAGCACAAACGGGCCTCTGCACCCTAAATTCTGCCGCGGCACGGCGCTCACACCTCTCGCAAGGCGCTGACTGACTGCGTTGACGTAGCAGTTTTGTCACTTAACTGTTACGTCAGCGGGCGATGGGGTCGTCAATTCCCTACGCCTTATTATTATTATTATTATTATATTATTTATTTGTCAGAATAAGGTAAAACATAATGGTCTTAAATCTAATACAGAAGTTCACTTATTCTGCCTCTTTTATAGGCGTACAAATATTAAATCGTCTTACTTTAATTTCGACATAAAATTTTAATACTAAACTATAAAAAATTAATTATGGATAAATGTTATACAAATTGTCATAAATGTGACAAAGAGAAAATCAGTAATAATACAACATGTCATCGTCAAATTGCTATATATGTCACCTGTATTTACTATTATAATTACATTAATTAAATAATAATTTTACAAACAAAATTAGTTACTGAAATATTCAGAAATACTATAAAAACACTTGCTGAGAAGCCATTCTATCAACTTTCGTTTAAACGTTTGACTTGTTTCATTCTTTATTGTGTCTGGCAGACGATTCTATACACGGATTGCCATGTAGAAAGCATTCCTGTTAAAGAATGAGGTGCCTGATTTAGGCAAGAATAATTTATTTTTGTTCCTAGTATGCCTCTGTGTTACATCAGACTGTTTTATAAATAAATTTAAATTTTGTCTTACAAACAAACAGATATCCCTCACATACATACACGGTAAGGGAAGAATGTTTAATTTCTTAAAATGGGGTCTACAACTCTCACAGTACCCCAAATTGCATACAGCGCGAATAATTTTTTTGTACTACAAATGCTTTCTAGCTATCGGTAGAGTTTCCCCATAACAATAACCCGTAGCTTAGAACTGAGGAAACATAACCATGATATGCACATAGAGCTGCCTCTCGCGACACTGTTCTCCGTAATCGTCTTAGAGTATAAACAAATCGGTCTAATTTCTTACAAATTTTAAAAATGTGCTCCTTCCAATTGCATTGTTCATCAAATGTGATACCCAAAAATACTGCAGATTGTACCTTTTCTATCGATTTATTATGAAATTTAATGTTAATGTCTATTTTTTTTTGATTTGTATGTCGTAAATGGTATTATTTTCGTTTTGTCAAAATTAATATTAAGGTTATTTAATTCAAGCCATTTAACTACGTCACGAATAGAGTCATTGATTTGATTATTAAAATTATTTATGTCATTAGCCTTTATTATTAGGGTTGTATCATCGGCGAAAAGAATGCATTTTTCTTTCGTAGCTTGAGGTAGGTCATTGATATAAATTAAAAATAAAAGCGGGCCTAAAATACTACCTTGTGGAACACCATATTTAATAATTTTATAATCTGATCTATATGATGATTTTTGTATTTGTTTGTTTTTAGGCACCATCTTACAGATTTCAGTGCATTGCCTTCTGTCTTTCAAATAACTAGCTATCCAATTATTTGCTTCACCACGAATACCACATTTTTCTAATTTTTGAAGCAAAATATCATGTTCTATGTGGTCAAAGGCCTGTCATGTCTAATAGTAGTGCTACTACAGGTATCCTTTGAGATATGCTTTCGGTGATAAACTTAATAAGATGAAAGCATGCAAGTGTAGTTGAACTTTTCTTTACAAATCCAAACTGCTGCCGATTTAATATATTATGCTTTGTAAAGAATAAATTTAATCTATTACACATAGCTTTTTCAAATACTTTGGATAACACAGGCACGAGAGTAACTGGTCTATAATTATTTACTGTTGCCTTGTCACCTTTCTTAAAAGGTGGTTTTACAATTACTTGTTTTAACTTCGATGGAAAGATGCCTTTACAAAACGATAAATTTATCAAAAAGCTTAAAATTTCAGATATGCTATTTGCACACGCTTTTAATATTTTCGTTAAAATTTCGTCGTATCCGACAGATTTACTATTATTAAGATTCATTATTATTTTACGAACCTCATAACAATCCGTAGGATATAGAAAAATTGTTTTGTCATTCGTTACAATCTATTTAAGAAGATTATGATTATTGTCGCGTTTTGTAATATTACCTATAAAGTGATTATTAAAAACTTCCGCAATTTTTTGTGCATCAGTGTACTTAATATTATTATACGTTATGTAATCTACGCCCTGAGAGTGTGGTTTACACATTATATTGTTTTTGATAACAACCCAAGTTGCTTTGCATTTATTAGAACTGTTGCCTATATATTTATTATTTACATTTTTTCTGGCAATGTGGAAACATGTTTTCAATATGCGACTATAAGCATTGTATTTTTTGTTTCTTTAGATTTTTATTAGCATTGCCATGAATATATTTTAAATACAGATTTCTTTTTGTGATTGTTGCCTTTTTTATCCCTTTAGTAATACACCGCGCTCTCATATTTGTATTTACTATTTTTATTCTAATGTTTGTAAAGCACAAATTGTAAAAAACTAAAAATAGATCGTGAAAATAGTCAAAAGCTACGTCAATATCTTCTATTGTATATATGTCAGACCAGGATAACGCCCGCATGCAATGATTAAATTTAATTATATTACTTTGACAACAATCTTTTCTATATTCAAACCAGTATGTAGTTATATGTTTTTCAGACATATTTACGCTGAGGGTCTGCGCTGTTTCATGATCTGACAAACCCAGAAAATGAATGCACGAATCAACTTGTGTTATGTTGCTAGCAATATGATTAATACACGCTTTATTTCTAGTATGTATTCTTATGTGAAAGTCAATATTATGATTATTTAATATACTTGTTAATTCAACTGTTGGTTTAGTCTGTTTTAATATATCTATATTCCAATCACCCGTTAATACTAATTTAGTACTCCCTTTTTTATTAGTCAGTTTTTATAATAATATATTAAGTTTTTCAAAAACTGCTGGCAATGTTTCAGGTTTATGTATTCTATATATGCAGATAATAATCATGTTTAATTGACTTAATTTAATTCCACAACAATCAAAACAATACTCACAGCCTAATTCGTTTGTTATCACAATTGATTTATATTTAATCCCTTTCTTAACAAAAATACAACTACCATCTTTTTTCATTAAGACGTGAAAATCTTGCGGCTAGTTTAAAGTTATTAATGGAAATAATGTTCTCCATTCCTTTTTTTAATAAAAGTTTCACTTAAACATATTATGTCTACATCTATTTTTGTTGTTTTTAATTGATCCAATACTATTTCCAAAGAATCAATTTTGCTGAAAAGCCCTGCAATGTTCTGATGTAATATATTCAATTTAGATTTGTTCACGAAAAAAATTATTTGTTGACTGTACACTTTTATTCTGTGGCTTAAAATAATAGGGTATCGTACCCATAGATAAATAAATATGTAGATCGTACCTTTTAAAGGTTGTTTTTTACTAGCTGTGGCAATGTCAATGTGAATATGTGTTTCTTGTTTTTTTAATTGTTGTTTAAATAAATATGGAATTGTACCTTTTTTGAATTCCTATGGCAGATTTGTGTAAGATTTTTTAAAGCCTTTATTTGTTTTAAAGTAATTTATACTATTTGAATTAAGTTTATGTTTACTAACTATAAATTTTTTATCGTAATCTTCAGAGTCAATGTGAAAGTTTATTATATTTGCTCTATATTACCATGAAGTCTTAAAAATTTACAATTTTGATATAACCGAGTAACACAGTACATATGATTATTCAGAGATTTTTCTTTTAGATAATTATTTTTTAAAGTCTCTAAATCGAATACTTGCACAAATTTTAATTTCTCTAAAGCTACGCTTACCTCACTAGACAGTTTAAATGGGTTTGTTTCATTCTGTCCCATTATAAGTATAACTCTGTCGTTGCTACTCAACTCATTTTTTAAGATGTTACAATATGATAAAATATCTGAAGACGTCGCGTTAGGCTTAATTATAGATAACACATCATAGTTATCGTTCCACGTGTTTATCCGTGAATCTCTAATTTCTAGCGATAGTCCTCGTGCCTGTTCATCGCCAAGCAAAATATATTTTATTTTTTTTTCGCTATTTGTTAATTTTTTGCTTATGTTGCGTTGTACTGTGATTGGTGATATTTTTTTTATATCTTCCGGCGAATCGTCTACTAGCTTATTCTTATTATTTAGGCATGATTTACATTTCCATGAGCTTTTGCTACTTTTGCTCATTAGATAAAACCTTTTTGCTGACACGTTCGCACATTGAATATCATATTTTTTCTTTCATAAAGTGCATATTAGATATTCATTATTTTCTATAATAACATTACATTTGGCACATAAAGCATTTTTTTTCGACGAGGATGCCATATTATGTCATATATTTTACTCTTTTTATATATATATATATATATATGTATTCTTATATTAATTAAAATTATATGAAAAAAAGAAGAAAAAAAATATGTTGGATTAGAACTCTGGTACAGAGCGTTCCAAGTAGGTTCTCGAAACCAATACACCAGGATGGTAATGCAGATGCAATTAAATTTTGTAGTCTTATTCACGATTGATGTTTGATTCACGAGCGATCTGGTCCAAAGTTCATTGTGTCGTTTCATAAATGAGCCGCTTAGTAAACAAGAAAGTTTCCGTTACGATTCTTGAATTTAAAAATAATCTCTCTTCCACTAAACAC